TGCAGCTCTAGTACTCTTTGTGAAGAAGAAGTATGGATCCATGAGACTATGTATCGATTATCGCGGGTTGAATCAGCAAACGGTGAAAAACAAATATCCATTACCTCGTATAGATGATTTGTTTGATCAACTTCAAGGAGCAAAGTACTTTACCAAGCTAGATTTGAGAAGCGGCTACAATCAAATTCGAATTGCAGAAGAAGATGTTCACAAGACAGCTTTTCGTACTAGGTATGGACACTTTGAGTATCTGGTGATGCCTTTTGGTCTCACTAATGCACCAGCTACATTCATGGGATTGATGAACGATATCTTTCGCCCTTATCTAGATAAATCTGTCATTGTTTTTCTAGATGATATATTGGTGTATAGCAAAACTTTGAGTGATCATAGAAGTCATTTACGAGAGGTACTTCAAGTTTTAAGAGACAATCAATTGTATGCCAAAGCTTCAAAATGTGAATTTGGCAAGTCAGAAGTAGATTACTTGGATCATAGAGTTACAGCTACAGGATTCCAAGTGATGAGTGAGAAGATAGATGCCATTCAGAAATGGATAGCACCTGAGGATCAAACTCAATTGAAGAGTTTTCTAGGGCTCACTGGATTCTATCGTAGATTTGTGAAAGGTTTTGCTCGACTAGCTCAGGCCTTGACTTCCATGTTAGGGAAAGGTCAAAAGTGGAGATGGGGAACAGCTCAAGAGTTAGCTTTTCAAACATTGAAAGATGCTTTGTTACACGCACCTATTCTCAAGTGGTATGATCCTAACCGTTCTATCAAGTTGGCCACTGACGCATCAGGTACAACAGTAGGTGGCATACTTCAACAAGAATGGGAGGATGGATGGCATCCAGTTGCTTTCTATTCTCGAAAGTTGGTGGCGGCGGAACAAAATTATCACACGACAGAACGTGAGGAGTTAGCCATCGGTTGGCAACCAAACATTGGAAGCATTATTTGGGTGATAAGGAGTTTGTGATGGAGACTGATCATAAACCCTTGGTTTATTTGGAAACTCAGAAGGATCTGTCCAAACGACAAATTCGATGGGCAGAGTGGCGTCAACGCTTCAACATGAAGATTGTGTACGTGGAGGGAAAGAAGCAACTTGCAGATGCTCTCACACGCATGCCTTGTTTGAATCATGTTGCAGAAGTGAAAATTCAGGCGGATTGGTGGAGCAAGATGTCACAAGCCATAAAGGAGGATGAAGAGATCACTCGAGCACTACAAATTGGAAAGGCAGAGAAATCTCGAGGTTTGGCGTTTTACAATCAGCGTATATGGATTCCACAAGATCACAATTTGCGCACAATGATTTTGGCAGAAAGTCATGATACAGCCATTGCAGGTCATGTGCGAGTGGAGAAAACCGTGGAGAGTATACAACGAGTGTACTATTGGCCCAAAATACGTGAGGATGTGGAGTCTTACGTTCGAAGTTGTGTTGCTTGTCAACAAAACAAGGCAAGTAATCAAAAACCAGCGGGTTTATTACAGCCTCTTCCTATCCCCGAACAGCGGTGGGAACATGTCACCATGGATCTTGTATGTGAGTTACCAAGGACTTCGTTAGGACATGATTCAGTGGTGGTTTTTGTGGATAAATTGAGCAAGATGATTCACATCAGGCCAACCACAAAAACAGTAACAGCTCCACAACTAGCTCAATTGTATCTAGATGCAGTTTTTGTGAATCATGGCTTAAGCAAAGTGTTAATCACGGATAGAGGTACTCACTTCACTAGTTTATTTTGGAAAACTTTGTTTAGTTTTTTCAAAACAAAACTAGCAATGTCAACGGCCTATCACCCTCAAACTGATGGACAAACTGAAAGAGCAAATAGAACTATAGAGGATATGCTACGAGCATTCACATTAGAAGAGCAAGAAGAGTGGGACAATCTTTTGCCACTTGTGGAATTTGCATATAACAATTCTGTTAATGCATCCACAAAAGTGTCTCCATTTTTTCTTATGTATGGAGCTCATCCGATAACTCCTTCAAGTTTGATGAGACTTCCGAAAGGAGAGGAGTTTTCGACCAAAGTTGCAGCAGTCAACGAATTCGTGGAGCATCTTCACCGAGGACTACATCAGGCCAAGGAGAAGTTGGTGATAGCTCAAAATCGGCAAAAGCAGCATGCCGATGCTCATCGTAGAGAAGTGATTTTTGAGGTTGGAGATCATGTTTGGTTATCTACAACGAATTTGTCTCTTGTAGGAACACCAAAGTTAAACCCTAGATTCATTGGTCCATTTTTGGTTTTGAAGCGTGTTGGTGAAGTGTCATACAAGTTGGAACTTCCGTCACATATGAAAATACATCCAGTATTTCATGTGTCACGATTGCGAAAACATGTACCACGACCAAAACAATTCACCAACCAACCAGCACCACCTCCTCTTCCAACCTTGATAGCAGATCATGAGGAGTTTGAGGTAGAAAAGATACTCAAGAAACGTATTCGAGGTCATAAATATCCCAAAATAGAGTATTTGATTCAATGGAAAGGCTATCCATCGTATGAATCAACTTGGGAACCAGCTAAAAATTTAGCAAATGCACCTTTGATAGTTCAGGAGTTTGAACGTATGTGCAACGAGGACGTTGCATCTTAAAAGGAGGGAGGTTTGTAACCATCTTTAGTTAGTTAGAACTAAAGTAGAGGTTACTCTGAATATTGATGTAGATACTTTAGTGTGCACTAGTCATAGCTGCCATGTCAGCGATCCGCGCACTTGGTAGGTACAGAGTGAATGTGTTAGTTGACAGTGCCACGTCAACAATCCGTGTCCTCGTAGGTAAGGATTGAGTGTGTTAGTTAGTGTGTTAGTTGGGTGCGCCACGTCAGCGATCCGTGTGCTTGTTAGGGTTATCCGCCACGTCATCCATCCACTAGGAGTGGTATGGATGGTGGGGATTAGATCATATCACCTTGTACTTGTTGGTGAGAGCTATATAAGGGAGAGGAGAACCATTGTTGGTATCTCTCATCTTCAGAGTTTACGTTTCTATCTTCGAGTGAACTTCTCTCTAAACCCTAGTGTTACAATTACGGTGGATATTTACCAAACACAAACGTATTGTATCTTGTTAATTTGTTGTCTCTTTACTTCAACTTTGTTACTTTTGTGCCGCTTGCTTGTGCAACGTGGAAGGTAATGCGAAATGGTATTGATTTTATACCGTGGAGGGATGGAGATCCAACCCATTAGATTGTACCCATTCTACTTAGAGGTTGATTTCTTTTGACTTTTTTTTCATGTTGGAGTGAAGATTACGGTGGATGGATGGCAAGTGACCTAGAAAGCACCTTGTTCGAATATGCACATGTTTGGAATGGAAGCAATCTCAACGAGGTAAACTTCATCCGTTCTCGGATCTTAACATTGGATGTTCCAGCGTGGATCGAAACTTCTTGTAAAGTATTCATACTTTCTCTGAAGAGCAAGTATCTAAAGTTCATTATTTTGAAATTAGTGTTGATACCCTCTTTTGGTAGTGACTTTGTTTTTTATCACTTTTTAGATTTAGGCTCAAGATTTAGAGCATTATTTCTTGGTCTCATTAGCATATCCAGGGAGAGCTTCGCGAGGGTTTAGAGTGACATGCTTGTCAGGTCCAAAAGACGATATCAAAGTTGAAGCTATGTATCATCACTTCCTGGAGAAAAAATGACTTTTGTACAGTTACTCATCCTTGGAGTAGTCATCGGCCATGAAGAAACTTTCAAAACATGTCATGGAAAAATATTTTTATGTTACATTTGGCAATATTACACTGATGTGGCAGACTCGACATGCATCTTGTAGCTTACGACTTAGAAATATCCCACACTAAGCAAAAGTATTTCTTCTATGGAGATAGCGAGCAAACCCAAAAGATAGGATAATGACTTTGTATATAATAAAGGAAAAAGTACTATTGATTTTGAAAAAAAATTCTAAAATCTAAATGAAACAAAAACTTGACATCTTGGGATTAAGATTTAAGATGTGAAAATTTATTTAAAAAAAACACGATTTTAAGAAATAATACCAGTGATTGTAGTATAATGCAAATTAATGACTTCTTTTTCCCTATATCATTACATCAAATATTACTTTTTTTCTTTATATGCGCTCTTTTTTGGATATATCTCAATTTTTGGCACTTGAAAAATTCAAAATAGCAAAATATTTTCAAATTTAATAGTAGATTTTTTTTAAATTTCTCATCGATGTGTAAGCTTACTTTTACATAGCATCAGATATCTCATTTTTACAGTCAAATTCCAAACAAAATAGACATATTTGCTTGCAAGATCAATTATACAAGAATAACCCTTCAACCTCTACATAGAATTTCATGCGAAAGGCATAAGCCTTTGTACGTTATTTTTGAATTCTTCAATTAAAAAAACTTATTAGAAATGTTATTTTGATGATTTTATAGTAAATATTATTTGTAAAAAGAAATGTAATTTCAAATTTTCACTTGATTGACTCTTGGTTGACACTTGGTTGACTTTAATTTCACTAGTTACTTCAATTTATAATCCAATTTTTTATGAACATAATAATAAACATACAGATATAACAACATGTTCAAGAATGTTACACACAATATATGACCAATTTTGCATGGATTTCTTACGACTATACAAAATATATGTTCAAAATACATATATACAAAAAGTTTAGCCAAGAATTATATATACATGAAAGGTATAACGATTTTCAAATATGAGATATATTTAAAGAAAGGCTTACTAGTACTTTACACAAGCATGTGAATATAGTTTAAAACCATGGAAGATTTTTTGGAAAAAAATTTCCAGAATATTAAAAAAAGTTTTTTTACATGACATGTTTTGGTGGACATCAACGAGTAAGTTTATAAACACATCTTAAATTTCATACTGGCAAGGGTCAAAAGGTATTCATGTACTCGGCTACTACCACGTCAGACTATGTCGTCGAAAGTCGAAGATACATTGGTCGCCACGCCATTGGTGCATCGGATACAAACGGGTGGATCCATCACGAGGAGGCAGGCATGACGAGGACGTGCTAGGACGCGGCCACGTGTGGATTGCGATCGGTGACTGTCGGGAGGGCGAAGAGCAGATCCAGTGACTGGCGACTGACTCGAGTCGAGAAACGCCAACTCTCATGCAGCAAAATGACTCGGAATCATTCCATTTGCCGTCGAAGGCCTTGGAGTGAAGTGGCCTGTCCACGTGACCTGCCGCGGGAGAGTCCGAGACGATGGAACGATGGAGCGTGAGCGCGACGTTGGCACCACGAGCGCCTAATTTCGAGCTCGTGCGCGCCTCGTCGTCGAAGAGGAGCTTCAATCCGAAGGGCTCGCGGGGCGGCAGCAGCAGCAGCGTTGGCGTCGTCGGGCGGAGGAATTCTGCGTCGAGGGTCGTGTCGTCGACCGGATTCGGTGGAGTTCGCGCGAGCGCGAGCGGCAGGAGGTTCGGGCCTCGGATTTGGGCCATGGGGACTTCCACGCAAATCAAAGACGGCGTGGAGCTGAAGGTCTTCGAGAGCGTGCAGGATTTGGGCGACGATCTGGCCGATTACGTCGCGGCCCTTTCGAAATGCGCCGTCGAGGCCCGCGCGGCCTTTAGCATCGTTCTGTCCGGCGGCTCTCTCATCAGCACCATGGGGTGAGGCACCCTTGCGCCCGGGCAATGGCTCTTTCTTTCGTCGTCTTCGTCGCCGCGCGGCGTCGGAAGGATTGCGCTCGCAATGCAATTCGACCCGAAATTCTTTCGGAATTTCTCGTTTCGTGGCGATGGGACGTCATGAATTCTTGATTTCTCGATTTCTTGATTTGCGTCCGGTGTCCATGACGACATGAGGTCAGATTTGAATCTTTGTTTTGCCAGGAAGCTGACTGAAGAGCCATACCTTGGAAGCATCGACTGGGCTCGATGGCATGTGTTTTGGGCCGATGAGCGTGTCGTCCCTCTCGATCATCCCGACAGCAACTACAAGCTCGCTCTCGATGGACTGCTGTCGAAGGTAAGCGCATCCACTTCCTGCCTCCAACTTTCTCCCTCGAGATTGCTCTCTTCTGAAACGGCGTAAGGAATCCTTGTCACGTCAATTGCGATGATAACGAGTTCGTCGAGGTTTATGATGAACAGCCTTAGGTTTTGAGTGGGAGCTGTTATCTGTCGCTGCTCGTTTTCCCACTGACTGAGGCGATTGTCATGAACGCCACGGATTTAATCAGGTGCCCATTCCACCTGGTAACGTGTATGCCATCAACGACAAGCTTTCGCCTCAAAAAGCTGCCGAGGACTACGAGCTGGGATTGAAGCAGCTGGTGAAGAAGAATGTTCTGCGTTTGGATGAAGCCGGAGAGTATCCCCGTTTTGATCTCATACTCCTTGGGATGGGACCTGATGGACATCTTGCTTCTCTGTTCCCTCACCATCCTCTGGTTTCGAAAACAGACACGTGGGTTGCTTCCATCGAGGACTCACCAAAACCACCACCCGAGAGGATCACACTCACCCTCCCGGCCATCAATGCTGCAGAAAATGTGGCCTTCGTGGCTACGGGGTCAGGGAAAGCGGACAAATTGAAGCTAGTTTTTGGTGGGGATTTGCCTTTCGGTGAAGTTCCCGCAAAACTCGTGAGCCCTGTGAGCGGAAAGCTCGTGTGGTTTGCCGACAAGCCTGCAGTTGCCAAGCTGTGAAGTGAGCGCATTTCATTTCTGTTACAGGCTGGCTGCTACGAGGACATTTTTGCAACAGACGATCCGTCAACCTTTTCTTTTTCAAGTTTTGAGGTCATATTATCATCGCCAGTGGGTTGCAAGCCCTATCCCAACATAAGTTGAGAAAAGTTTCCCAACATTTTTCCGGGACTACTCTGTCACAACACGAATAAAGAAATGTACATTACCGAAGTTGCTCATGAATCGTGCCCAGCAAAGTTTTGCAATACATGTATGATACTCAATGTTCTCCGTGCATCTGTCTGGACATAATTTCAACTGCACATTGCCAAATCAAGGCACACAGAACTGTCACCTAAAACTGTCAGAGGCTCATGAGGGCAAATGAATCCGTACTGCTATCAAAACGCGATTATTGTCAATGTTAGCATTAGGAGCTCACGAGATATTATCACCTCTCACCACTGAGTAAGACATTTTCACAGGAGAATGACTTTTTTCTTATCTTGGCTATTGGTCGCTGTTAGTGAATATTCTTGCATCGTGATCCGAAATTCGTCTGAGCTTGCTCGTTGGAGGTAACTCTGCCGAATAGATCAGAGGAACTTCTCAGTACTTGTAAATGTCTGAAGCTTGTGTTGCAATGTACCGACTGTTATGCTTGACGCAAACTGATCTTGGGACTGCGGAACTTCCAACTTGACAGTGAACAAAACAAACTGCCAGCTCAGAAGATTATCGGTGGGTGGTTGACAACATAGAGCTGTCAATTTAGAGAGTGTGCAAAATCCATTCTTTGGGTAAGAGTGGCTAAACATCCAAACTAAACCCCGCGGACACTGAGCTTGCCTGACTGTGAGACATACTAGTCGAACAGAGACGAAAGTCGGCCATAGTGATCCTGGACTCCCGCGTGGAAAGGCTGAACGTATCAAAGGTACGCCGGGAATGACAGGCTGATGACTCCCAAGAGCTCTTATCGACCTAGTCGTTGACAGGTGCACTTCCAGCACCACGACAGGTCTTCCCTGTTTTCTGAACGCAAGTGAACTGAAATGGCATCAAAATTCATCATACTCCGGATTGATTGTCAAGCACTTCAAAAACGTAAGATGAGATAGGATGGACGCTTGCTACTTGTCGTTTCTTCAGGCAGATTATCGTACGCTTGTAGGAAAATCACGGGAGCTTCACTGAAAGCATGCGATCCGCACAACCAAGCTCCGTGATGAAGTGATCACCAGCAACACCGCCCCGCTTCAAGGGAAATTATTACGGCAATATCAGAAGCCAAATTTTCGCCTTCGCCTGAAGCGAAGGTCTCGGCTTCTTGTCAACTCCCTTAAATGTCCAGATTTCTCGCAAGCATACCATAGCCACCAAGAATCCGAATCCAAATCCGAATAGATCAACTTCAACATGAGTGCTAACGTATCATCGGAAATAAAACGCGGACGATGACAACGTCGCAAGAATGACACAACCTACAGGCGACGAAAATACGAAGCCCTCGATGTACGTATCCATCGATCGATCATCGCGGTGATTACAGCGATAAATTTTCTCCTTTGCCTATAGCGGTCACCGCCGCTGAAAACGCATCAAAAAATCCTATTCGAGTAAAGTCGATTTCGGATAAATTGACGAATTAGACGAGAACCCGAAGTCTGCGTCATTGCCTTCGAATTCGCCGCTCGTAAAAAAGTCTCGAGAAATTGAACCTCGAAAGGCTCCTTTCGACAGTTCTTCGTTTAGTTCTTGTATGGACTCGGTCTTGGAACCCGGGATGTTCTTGTAGGAAGTGCATTGGGCATCAATGGTGATCCGTTGGATCGACCTGAGGATGGGATCGGACGGTGAGAAGAGCGAAGGGTCGGGAGACAGAGATGTAGGGCTGAGTATTAGAACGAGGAATGGCTCTGAGGTCGTCCTTTCTCGTCGGGCAGCGTTGGACTGCGCACTTTGCAGCGAAGAAGGAAGAGTCTGGAGCTCGTGCCGTGCCATACCAATTTTGCCATTCTGAGAGTCCGTCAATATGCAGATCTTCGTAAAGACCCGTAAGTTTCTTCTGCGCTCTTCGTTTCATGTTCCATTGTGGAAGGGATTGTTTGTAGTGTTGATTTTCTCTGTGAAGCGTGTAATCTCGTTTTACAACGCGCCGAGACTTGAAATGTCCGTTAGCGATATGTTCTTTATCATCTGTAGCCGTCTTGCGGATGTTCTATGGAATTTGTTTTGGTTTGAGGTTACGTGATTAGACCCGGGCTACTGGATTCCGTGTGTAGTACGAGAGTGCTCTGTTTCGATCGCATTCTGCTATCGCCTTGTGGTTGGTAGCCGTAAGCCATTTGGAGCTCTCAGCTGGAGGTTTCCGCAACAGTGAGAAGGTGGTCTATTTATTAGGCACCTTCGAACGAGCTGGTTTCCCGAGAGTGTCACTATGATTGTCCTTGCAATCAACGATGTATTGAGTTGAAATGTTGATTTAGCGATGTGGATTGTGGCACCGCACAGTAACGGGCAAGACTATCACCCTCGAGGTGGAGTCTTCTGACACCATCGACAATGTGAAGACCAAGATCCAGGACAAGGAGGGGATTCCCCCAGACCAGCAGCGATTGATCTTCGCTGGCAAGCAGCTTGAAGATGGTCGCACCCTTGCCGACTACAACATCCAGAAGGAGTCTACCCTGCACCTGGTGCTCAGACTTCGTGGAGGAGCGAAGAAGCGCAAAAAAAAAACCTACACCAAGCCCAAGAAGATCAAACACAAGAAGAAGAAAGTCAAGCTAGCCGTCCTCCAATATTACAAGGTTGATGACAGCGGGAAGGTTCACCGCTTGCGTAAGGAGTGCCCTACTCCTGAATGCGGTGCCGGAACTTTCATGGCCAACCACCATGACCGTCATTACTGCGGAAAGTGTGGTTTGACCTACGTCTACCAGAAGGCTGGTGCCGAGTAGACACATCATTAGTTTAACAGAGGAGTAATTTTTTGACCTGAGTAAAGCTCCCTTCAATTGAAGGAATTCTATCGATTATCTTACTTGTGTGAGATGAATGCTTGGCCCGATGTCAATGTGCACCTCGTATGATCATTCAAGTTATTGTACAGTATCACAAAACTTGGTTTAAATGATTTCTTTATCTGTCCGGTCATGCTGTTGGAAAGTCTTCGTGGATTTTATTTCAATGTTCTAAATCGCATTCGCTGGGTGAAGGCCACCAGTCGTGAAAAGGGGTCTGTGAGTGGAGTATGAAACTCAATGTTGCTTATTCTGTCAAGTGCCCTGTAATACATCTCTGTATGTATATATGGTGTGCCGGCCATGGCAGTGCGAGTATAATGACGAACAATTTGCTCAACCTCAAATGATAAAATTGCGCGTATAGATGCTTGTGAAAAATGTCTATTGGTGGATTTTCGTTGAGACGATATATTATCTCCCTTGACAACGGACAAAACTAATATTTGCTTGAAGCGTGTCACCAAATTCCCACTCACCCGGATACTTCCAAATTTGGTTCTTTGTAAATTCGCATCCTTACACATTACCATGAAACTCCTTCAGCACTGACAGTTTCATCAAATGTCGACGTATATTATTGGTCAAGAAGGAAAACCGCTCACTTTCTTTCAAAATGCACACTACCTTTTCCACGCACTATCTGCGAGTCGAGAACAAACTTTACAGCATGGCCGGAAACGCTAATCTTTGAGAGAAAGCTGGACTTCTTCCACTGATTGCCAGTGAGCTGAGGTGAGAACAAATTTCTCTGCTTCCCTCAAGGTGCTGGTTTTTTTGTGAAGACTGGGACATAAAACGGGTTATCGGTAATCCATTTAATATCTGCTAAAGTAATACTAAAATGATTTTCTCATGGCTTCTCCATTTCGACAGGTCAACAATGTACAAAGGACATGCTGAGTTTAAAAAGCAGAAATGTGGCAAACATTTGCTCCAAAGACTCGTCAATAATAATTTGAGTCACGAATTGTAATTTAAGTACACTGGTTTCTACGATGTTCTAGCGTCTTCTATTCTTGCATCGGGAAGGGAGTGCTGCTTAGTAGCTTCAGCCCTTGCAGTATAAGCGATTTTGCTGCGGCATTTTTCTCCAATGTTTGAGCTTCTTGCAATTTTCTCTCTACAGACCCCATAAGGGATTTCTCTAATCCTGATCCCAAGTCGGCTACCGTCACTATCTCCACAACGCACTCTAATGCTGCAGTATGTACCTGCGTCATAGTGTAAACCACTGGATGTTAGCGACTCATTCCAAACCCAGACAGAGTCCGGAAAGCACGATTATTTCGTATTGAGACCGGTGACACCAAACTCATTTTGAGGATTCCCTTACCTGCAATACTTTCACTTCACTGACACAGTCCATGACAGGAGGTAGTAGGGTTTCCAGCCACTGCTTACATTGCAACAGACGATCAGGTTAGTACGACACATATAAGGTATCCTACTGGAGGACAGGGCTCAGAATGAAAATTACCTTAAGATTTGAGATTCAAGTTTACCAGATGAGATAAGACTCGTAAGATGTGCATTCTAAAATTTGTCCCAAGTCATCAACTTACAGGTTTGGCGATGAGATAGGTTGCTTCGAAGTCTTTGTCCTTCGCGTCGAGCACAGCTTTGAGCCTCCCCACAAAGACTTTGATGGTGGATAAACAAGCTAGCTTTACTGCATGATTCAACAGCCCAGAACCAGCGTTTAACTCAGTGGATGCGCAATTGCACAGCCCAACCTCCAAGTGCACATAGTTTATGTGATCATCAGAAAAGATCTATCTACTTGGGCACCAAATGGGCAATTCAGCCTAATCAAGAAGTGACATACCTGGCCATAGATGTCCTTTACCAAGAGTAGCCACTAATGCTGTTGTGATCTCTTTTCCTGCCGCAAGCGTCGGAGTGGAGGATGCGGCTTCAAGTGCTGCTGCCAAACAGGAGAGCACCTTCTCAAATGGTGCTGCCGATTCCTTTGGCTCCTCTGGCTCTGTATCGAAGAAATGACGACACGAAAATTTCCTTCTATATCAATGAGTGACGGCAAAAAAAGTTCTCATTTCGTGTTGTGAGTTGATCTCAGAGTCAGACCTTAGCAGTGACTTAATCAAATGTGCATACAATTCACTGTGGTAAATACTAAATAAATGAGTGATTACCTCTTGTGGCTTACTTTTCTCTAGGGTTACTTCTGAGGGTTTCGAAATTGTGTGTCCAGATGCAAAGCTTGCCTGAAAACTGTATATATTGCTAATCTTTCTGAATAATTAGGTCCGAGAGTACAATAACGAGGTCCGAGAGTCTTACAAATTATCATTCGATATTGTACTGATCAAACTGAGCTGTTGGATGCCTGAGATCAAAGGATGGTGATAGCAATCTAGCTGAATTCGGGTTTGAACTTCGTTCACGGTGCAGGATGCTACATTGAAATTTCTGACCTAAGGAGCCATTCTGAGCAATGGCTCAAAGTGGTTAAATTGAAAGTGAGCAAGCTATGGAAAATGCAAGAGAAACCGAAGGACCTGCTGCGGTGAGAGAGACATCATTTCTAGATGATGCAACTAGTTGAAATATATATTTTGAATGTCAAATTTCATATGAATTTTACTTGTTGTGAATTTTGCAAAAAGACAAGAGGAGACAAACCTACATGAAAATTCTTACCATGCAAGGTCAAATTTTGTGAACTAACCACAATGAGGGAAAACAACACCAAATAGAAGATAATAAATGTTGCTTGATTCATCAGATGCACTGTTCTGTAGCATTTAATCCAAATAAAAAAAGACCTGCTTCAGATCTACACAATAGGAGAAACGGCGCAACGGACCTGTATCGGCTGAAGTATCAGTTAGTGCTGTCTTCGCAGGAGGTGGTAACGCGCATTCTCCTACTAAGTGGCTCACAACTGTGGTGATTAGATCGTGATCCTTGAAAGCCTTGAGTACCTGGACAGCAGATTGAGTAGACAATCAAAATACACACGCATCCACTTAATGATCAAAACTTTTGCTGCTCTTCCAGTTCAGCCGTGATAACGTCAAATTGTGCTGTTACCTCTTCCAAGCATGAATATGCTGCAAGTCGGTATGAGCCCTTCTTGCGAGAACAAGCAGCAAGAATAGCTACTGCCAAAGATTCAGGGCCAAGTGAGCTGGTTGTTGAGCTAGCCGAAGAAATGGCTTTCGGGCAATATTTACAAAGAGCTCCAATAGCTTCTAATACTGCCTCTTTGCCCTGCTCACACGGCCATATCAGAACTTAGTCTAAAGTCAAAAGGGACAAGATTGTGTACAATTCTAAGAGTCCATATTTTCTTTGTGCTAGACTTCCATTATGGAAAGGGCTAGGCTCCCATTGTTCCATGCTATATTGAATCTTCTGATAATCTCCTAATCGTAACTGAAACTGCATTTTACTGCCGATCCAGCTCGGAGTAGCTAATCAGCTCTTTGCTAGCTCTCTCATACGGAGAAAGACATCACGACGTCAGAAGAAACAAAAGAAACCCACCTCCCAAAGGCGGCCCGGTAACTCGGCGAGCAAATCTGTCAAAAGTTGAGGAACATTCGAACCTATTGATTCACCTGCCTTCTCGGCCATGAAGGCAGTTGCTTTTGCACTCTGAAAACATAATCCACCAGTTTACTAAGTAACGGGTTGGAAAATCCAGAACTTTGAGGACGATTGGCATACTTAAGAACACGATTCCAAACTATTGTTCTCATATTGAAGATATTTACTCTTCATCAATTAGACGACATCCACACTCAAGCTCTATGTCCATACCTTTTTCTTCTGAGACCATGATGACGATGGGAGGCCTTCTTTTAAGAAAACCATGATTTCAGACATGTAAAGCAGCAATGCAGCACCCCCGCTTGTGTTTTCTTCCCATATCTCCTGAAACTTACTGCTAACATCCTTTTCCTCGTCAAATCTGTTACAGAGAATTACCGCATGATCATGGAAGTTAGATTTGTGATCAAGTTCATGGTACGGGTTACGAGAGAAGTGAACAACACGAAATGATTGCCATGTACGTTGGAAGTGTTGAAACCTCTCGTACAGTCGTTATGACATATACTCTGGGAGAGATTAGAAGAAGTTGAATGGACAAAACCTTGCAGCCTTGGAAAGCACAAACCTGGCTATAAATGCAAGTGGGAGTACGAGAGTGTAGTGGCCCTTAAGAATTTCATTGGCTTGTAGAGAAACTTGTTCCAAAACAAGCGCGCTGGCCAACTGAGAATCCTTATCGGCTCCTTCAGCAGTATACAGAGCAGCAGCCTCTACAAGCAACCAGCGGACTTGGGGTTCTCCTGCATACTTTGCCACACCACCACAGGCTACGGCGAAAGCACGCCTCACGGCTGGACTCTTGTCTGATTTAACGGCGGAGAACAAGACCTTAAGAAGAGATCCACTGTGGGGTTTTATGTCCGAACCCACTCGCTGCGCAAGAAGACTGATAAACTTTGCCACACCCACCCTGCAAAAAAAGGTGAACATTCCTCGATGAGAATAAGATCAACGTTGATTCAAATCATGTTACCGATGGTTACAATTTCTCACCGTTCAGAGTGTAATATTTACAGATGGTGAGAAAACGATGTCAAAGTGGCGCACAACTCACCTGGTGTTCAAACCAACACCAGAGCGGACTAGCTGCGTTAGGCGGGGTAGAAGGGCTTCCAAGGTAGGTACATCCACATGTCGCAGGCACAAATCAAGTGTGTCCCACATGGGAGAGTCCTTGGCAACGGCAACTCGTACATTTTCAAGCTTCTCAGCACTAATGCCAGCTCTTTCGGCATGAAGCTGGAAGATGCACAGAAGGACAAAACAATAAATCGTCAGTTTATTTCATTCAAAACACGGCCTTAACGAATCCAGATGATTCATCAACATGAACTTGAGTGACCACGTACGTCCACGTCTACTGTGAGAATTTATGAATACACGCTACGATTCGTTTCATTGTAATATGCAGTAGCAGTAAATAAGCCATAAGCACCTCCGCATAATTGAGACGCTGGTCCTCCAAGCTTGAAAGACTCTCCAACATGCAATAAACAAGATCTGGCATTTGCGGTCGGACCGCTTGCCCAGCACCCTGCAAGGAATCAAGGAGAAAACGAGCTAAATATTCAACATGCTGTACTGAACCAGGGACGAGTACTGTATCTACAAGAGCAAAAGAGAATAGATAGAAACGACTTGTGTGACATTCATTTCCAGACAAACAATAACTCCACCAAGCTCATGAATTGAGATACACCTGAGAATACCCTAAGAATTCCCACACGAGATGCATTGATTTAGAGGGTAAACTAGGTGCGTGAAATTCTAAAAGCGTAGAACCGAATCTTGTAAACAAACATCATTACAAAGCAAGTTCTCCACGAACTTACGTTTCATGGAGACCGTGATCCTAACAAGAAAATGTCACATCTATCGTCCTACATTCGAAGTCTCTTTTTAAGTCAAATTCAAGACAGAGACTTGACGCTTTACCTTCACCAGCTTCATTACAGTGGTAATAGATACGCGACGCACATCACCCACAGAGCTCAAGATTCCCTTTGAGAGCAAGAAGGGAAGAACTATCGCCATGGTTGCTTTAGCATCAGCCTCCGCGGTAAGGGTTGTATCGCACAACCGCAAGGTTAGTGAACTCACAGCACGACACAAACTTTCTCCTGCAAGTCGTACAGTCTCCTTTATATCATCAATAGATCGGAAAGCCATAGTCCACATCCTCTCCATATATTTGCCCACCTGCGCCAAATAGAAAGTTGAAGTGTTAAGGGTTGACATGAGTTTACTCAGGTACCGTGCTCATTTAGCAGCTTGCGTTTGAGCAAGTTAATTGGAAGATATTTACAGATGCATATAGTTGCATCTGATAGGTCCTTCTTTTGAAGATTGACATCACTTAGAAACTTGAACCAAAGAATTTCCTTTGAATCCTCAAGGATGGCAGGCTTACGCCAATCGATCATATGAATATACCAAGAATGGCCCTTTCGTCATCAATATCAAATTTTTTAGTGAGTCAACTAAGATGATGGTACGGGTAGGCTGGTATACTCCACTTAAAGTCTGACTATGACTGAAGTGGACTAAAGAAATGGGAAATAGTTTCGGGAAATTATGTCTCTCGTAAATACCTAGTGTGAAATGTGGACCATGGAGGCGTATGTGCAGAAGTGTGAATTTTATAATCTCCAGGTTGAAATCTGGAGATTATAAAATCTCCAGGCTCCAGGTCGGTGGCTTTGACCTATGCTACTCATGTTGGATGATTCTTCTTCAAGTGGAGCAATGGTTTAAGGAGGAGACAGGTTTCCTTTTCAGTAAAACGGAGTTTTCAGATCACTTTTCTTGTCCTCAAGATGAGATATATGGAAGGTCAGTATGGGTGTCTATCCTAATTATGTCAGCGCATCAACTCTGAACGACCAAAACATATTGCTTCAAAGATAGACCTTGTTTCAGGTTACCAGAGCCAACATACATTCTAACAGCACAGAGGTCCTACTTTCTATGCTATATACTTTCATACTATGTAAAACTTACTTGGTTTCTCTGATACTAAGTGCCTTTCTTCAAGGTCAAGTATGCCGAATAGCAACCATGATGATGGGCAATGCCTGGAGAAAGAACTCACCTCACTGTACTTTCGACCCTGTACGACATCTGCTAGTGCAAGACAGGACGATTCCCTAGAGCGCCAAAGCCTCGACCCAGCTTGAGTTAGAAGATCCTCCATAATATCGTCAAAAAACTCATCAGTCGTTTTCTTGGGCTCTGCAACCAGAGCTCTCCAGATGTGTCCCATCGCGTCCTGGCAGGTTACAAAGATTGGTCAAGTATTTAAATATAACGACTTACATTTACTACTCAGTATCTTTATAACCAGATTAGTTCATTCTGTCAATGTATTCGTGAGAATGGCAAGTCTTGATAATCAGCGAATCTTCTACATAAGAAGACTAGACAGGTGACACTGGCTCGCAAATCACCATGTTGCGAAGGTGAAGAAAATACCTGAATACGCTTATTTGGATCATATTGGTATCGAAGAAGCTTCGGGACAAGTGCCCGTAGATGGGGCTTCAATGCTTCACCTGCTTGCTTTGCTATTCTTGCAAAGCCAAAGGCTGCACCCCTCTTTGAATTAAGTGAAGCCTGATGATTGGCCAGATCCATGAACTTGTAAATTAAATCTGGCTGTCCCATTTCGTTTGCTATGCCGCAGAGTTCCTTGTATGTGCTTATATTCCCACCTCCTGGTTTCTCACCCAAAGCACCTTCAGGGAACACCTCGGAGTCCTCCATAAGCTGCAAGGATATGGGACATCAGTCAGACCCCAAATTTTGTGGAAAAAAGTTGATCACTTGGCCTTCACAATCTGCAAGGTGATCTTCCTTCTACAATCTTATAAATCAACTCATAATACTCGTTACATTTTGGACAGGTAGCTTGACCCGTATGCGGGAAAACTCGCAAGAACGGCTCCTATTGAGGAAGCTCAAGAGGGCCTACTTTCCCACCCCCTACCATTTGTGTTTATGTTACTTGCTAAAAGTTTGAACTTTTGGGTATTTTCTGTTTACTTGAATGATATGATGGGTCAATTACTTGCTTTATCTGTATGTGCCTGTAAGTAGCTCTTACTGTCAACATACCGCCGACGAAGACGAGTTGTGAATCCTAGATTCTGACAGTACCTTAACGGCTCTTTTCTTTTTGGCTGTGCCAGAGAGATTGTTGACCAGGGCCATGACAAGCTCATTCTTTGTGGCCGCATTACCCAGCTCATAGACAATGCTCATTCCTCGCGAGGCCATCTCTTGTGTGAGCTCATTCGGATCTCCTAAAAGGTGAGACAGTGCCTCCTGCAAGACGACAGTTGAAACTACCTTTTCAGCTTCCCGAAAGAGACCCACATAACAAAAAACAAACATATGATTTGTCTCCACAGACGGAACCACAATGCATGAATATTTGTACTAAGCCACGAAGCAAGGCAAGAAAAAAACCCCGGGACTTAAGTCTTGTACTCAAACAAGGCGTCCATGACATAGTTACGTATGAATGTCGAGAAAACTCAGCCTTCGGCATGTTACAAACTAGCGAGATGCATTATAAGAAATAGGTGCTTCGAGCTACTCATGGTGTCTACAAACCTGTATTTCAGGGAGCATTTGCTGCACTTTAGAGTGTCTTCCGCTGTAGGATATGACGGACACAAGCCAAACACATCCAGCGCAACGTTCATCTGTTCTGCTGCTGAAGAGCAAGTCATCGAAAAGCTTCTTCACAATTCTATCCCTAGCCGCATCACGATCGTTTTCATCATGTGCTACTTCCATTTCCACGTCCTTTCCATGTACAGGGGCATCCTCATTGAGGAAGTTCGTTGATGCAGAGAGCGAAATGAAATTGCTTTTCAAGATTTTATCAGCACTAATAGGCACTCCTCCCCAAATAAAGGAAAAGGCCTCACCAATGGAGAAAAGCACGTCTTCTGCCTGCAGGAACCATAATAGCATCTAAATGAGAAACTTTCCTTCATTTTTCTATTTATTGCTTGATTGGGATGGTCTGTGAAATCTAAAACCATAAGAAGTTCAACTATAAAAAGGATTGTTCTAGACCTGACGCTGGAAATTCTAGGAAACAAGCAGGCTCATAGTCAATCGCATTGATTTCGATATCAATGCAAAGAATCCCACCTTGGACTTGCTAAGAGTGAAGAGAGCTGAAAGTGTTGCATCAAGAAGTTCAGGTTTTGGATTGCCATAGCAAAGATGGCCAAGGGAGATGACTGCTTTCTGCACAACTTTCACTTCCTTGCAGGCCAACAGCCCAGATAAGTTCTTCACAGCCAAGGCTAGGGACACTTCTTCCTTCTGAGATGTCTCTCCTTCTTTTTGTTTCAAAGGTTCGCCCTCCACAACCACTGCCGGCGTACTGGGCATAAGAGTCTGCTCCCTTCCAGTATCCATAGGACTCCCACCAGTGTCAACGTTGGCAGATTCCGAGGCCAAAGCTGGAGACGAGGAGTGTAAGTCACCATCAGGAATAGGAAGAGGACCACGCAGGCCTGCATGCCCAAGTGCCTCTGCTGCAGACCCAGCCAGATTGTCGTTGGCTGAATCCAGGTTGATTTTCGTTATCAAAGAACCAGTGGTACTTTCCAGCAAGGGTCTCGAAACCTGCGTCGTAACAAACGACATTCTTCAGAACAGAAGAACGCCCAAATTTACTCTCACCATCGCTCAGCAGGATAACATTGTTTGACAACAGTATGAATGCATCAGGATACTTTCTCTTATTCAGATAATTTGCTTACTTACATTTGGAACTCCCGTCATACATTGTGCTAACACATAACCTGTTGCACACACGGAACCCTGGAGGTCCTCGAACCTGCCATAAAAACCAACAATGTAAAGAACGGCTTGATATACATTCGGTATACGGAAACCAGGAACCAGAAAGTCTTTGGAAGTTTCAAATGTCTTGAATGTTACCGCCGCTTCGTATCCAACTCAAAGGATGATACTAGCTCCTTAAGTAGATCTTCGGCTTGCGAAGAAGATAAAGCAGCTGCGCAGATACCCAACAGACGACCTGTAGCCGCACGCGTTGTGGAGTCAATATGTCCCACGAACTGCTTCAACCAAGGCAGGCGGTTCTTGTATGTATTGGCTATACTCTGCCCGAGCACAAAGATCAGGTGAGTTAAAAGTGATCATTGGAAAGATTGATATGGACTACAGCAATTGCGTAACGTGTACTAACAGGAAACATGCTAACAGCCATATACGATATGTTTTGAGGTGTAATATTTCTAATTGATCTTTGTCAAGTGTTCCCTAAAAATATAATTTCTCTGTACACGAATTTAAGTATCACAGTCTCTTACTTAACTGGACTGACTGTATATGTTCAAAAGTTGGCACGCAGCCAGAAAGATTTTGAGTACCTCGGGGTCAATGGCAGCGAGTTCAAGTAGTCCATTGGAAGCCATGACGTGCAGCTCAACCGTCCCATCATGAGCCATTCCATGCTCTAAGAGTAGTCGAAACGCTTCCTTAGCTGACATCTCAGATGACGCTCCTTCAAGTTTGGCACCAGTTTGAGGCTCCTTGCTTTCGGATTCGAAGCACTTTTTAAGGAACTCAATCATAGAAACATACGTCTTCGCAGGAAACAACAACAGTCGCTCTCCCATCGGTGCAGGTGACCGAATTCTGTCCTGTTGCTGGTAGATATAATCCAACATATGTTTCAAAGAAGGATAAGCTGCTTCGGGAAGTCCACTTTTCTCATTTTTGGGAGGAACAAGCCCTTGTTGAGCCATCTCCCTGATAGAATGGACAAAAACGACCAGGAAATGTGTATGCGCGTAAGACGTTTGACCTTTCCCTTCACAGATGTAGCCTGCGACACTTAGACTAGTTGAGATGCAGAAAGTTTTGATATCGACCAAAGGCTACTTAAATTTCCAGTTTTCCAAGATTATCCTCGTTTGAAGTTTATAAAGCTTCTTCAACCAAGCGGCTAAATTGAAGGGGTCCAGGACATATCCAAACACCTGAATTCCTTGACCCTACACTGAGCTCTAACTTCACCAGAGAACTGCTGCTCCCATGCACACAATAGTAAAACGATAGACATTTGTCACGCTGGACATTTGGAAAAATCTGTGGCCAAGTATTCGGAGATGTATTCATTGAGTCCCGTGCACAAGCTCGAAATACAAGCAGGTGACAATATATGTAGAGAGAAAGTAAGTTCATGAGACGACTGAAAAAATGTATACATTCTTATACTTTGAAATATCTTGTTTAAGGTATGCTTTGGAATATCTCAATAAGCTCAATAGGAATGTATACCTTATATCGAGTTTTGTGTCGGCTGCTCCAAGCATACAAAGATATCGACTAGGGGCATGGTCAAATTTGTTCCACCTAGATGCCCATAAAATACTACAGAATCGTGCCTCGTCTTCCACCTACAGACATAAAACAGAACTTTGTTTATAAATGCTAAAGCAGAACCCTGCGAACTTTAACTAACTCACGTCCATGGCAGTACCATAAATACCATTAACAATATCAACAACAATGCAGAATGAGGCAAATTTAAGTGCACAGGATTGAAATTGTCAGACTAAACAATGTCAAAAGTGGATTCCTTTACCGCTTGCACGTGCTTCAGAAGTAGAGCTTCTAATTCAGCTGCAACTTCAGTCGAGCAATCCTGACACGGGTGACAACATTCATCGTAAACGTGTTACAACACCCACACATGTAAAGAATTTTACATACCTTTCATTATTAACAATTCAGCTCTCCTAGACTTCAGATCAATTTTAAATTTAAAGTCACAAACAATTTTTATTAGTAAGTGGAACTATGACAAAGTATCAGGTAGGCCGAAATTAAGTATGAAGGGAAAAAGAAGTCGTGCTTCAAGTCGTTCACTAAAAAAAATACCTTAAAAGCACCAGCGAGGGAAGATAAAGCTTCTTGAATATTTGAGCGAATAGCCACTGCCTCCACTTTCAAAGCTTCAAAAAGCCTTACCACCATCTCCGTACTCCCACTATTTGATCATAATGACATGTTAGAATACAGGAGACTCATGAATAAGATGATCATTCAAATTAAGCACTGTTCAATCTACAACAACTACTGAGAAACACGCTTTGCATTCCATGGAAAACAACATACTATTTTTCTGCAGTGGTTGTACAACCATATTGGTTGACATAAACGGTGTACATTTTCCTGGTACTTATCAAGGTAAATTTAGAATCAACCTCACTCATCTTCTGCTAACCAGAATATGTGAAACATACAAAACCGATGCTTCGGAAATTTTAAGAGAAGCAAGACGAATAATACCTAAAAAGATGAGGAGCACGCTGTGCCAGCTGACCGATAGCTTGGTAACAAAAAGCTCGCATCTGCTTTGAAGCAGAATCTGCAAATAGAAGTACAATGTAATAGAAGTTCTTATTTGCATCCCGGTTGGATGGACCATGCACGTGACAACTTGCTGCAGATCTTTATTAAAGTCAGGCTCTACCTGATTTAGGCACCTCTGGACAATTACAACTGTATTTTGAAACTAACACGACACAGATGTTGCTGGACATATCTGAGGTTTAAGTCGAATCATTGATTTCGGTAACTTTCAAAGCAGAAGAGGAGGGTGTTGAACCTGCTTCACTTGGATGGGATCCAGTAAGCAGTTTGATTACACCGGTCAGTATGAGGGGGGCCATGACCTTCAATTGTCTATCAACGGCCTGCGATAGATCCAAACACAAGCGAGAGAGGCTTTTAAAAAAAATGACTTCCCTCGCATGCCTTCATGCATCTGATGATGATGAGTTACCTGACTAATAACCACATACAAAAAGTATGGCAATTGGTCAAGATCCGAGAGCCATTACATAACATGCAACCATGAAACATCAGAACAACAAAAATACTGAGACCATACATGCTTAAATATCCAAACGGAAAACTCCATCCCAGCCTGCTTCAACCGTGTCGTGCTACCAGGTCCTGCAGGTGAACGAACACAAATTTTGTGATGAATCGGTGATGAATTGCAGAACTTTGAGAATATTGAAACAATCAGAACCTGATGCACAAGTATGATAACCAACTTAAGATTCTCCAGTCTATAGATGTTAAAATGAAATCGAGGTTGCTCACCAGATATACAATCGAAAACACACTGAAGTGTGAGTGGAAACTCATTGGCAGCGGCTATAGATCGCGTGAATGTACCCATCAGACGTGCCTTCAGCCCTGGACTAGCTGGCGATACCTTGGCATTGGCCTCAATTATGGCATTACTTACAGTGCCTGAGATGCACAGTAGGGAAAAGATGAAGTTGAATCTTTAAAGAAACACGAAGAATAACTCTTCCATGCGGTACCTTACATCTTCCGTAGACATCTGAAATTGACTGTACAGAGAAGGTCAAATTACTCCAAATGGGTTTAGCCTAATCCCCACCTAAGTAGATGGTAAAAAGTCGTCGTATGAGTGTTGAATCTTCCAAATTAACACCAGTCGTCTTTCGTTTAAGAAGCTCATCGCCTCGCTTTGAGACTTTCTCATTGCTGAATAAACCAAGACAACACAAAGATATCTTAGAGAAATATAGATAAAGTAGTTAACTATGAGAGACAAACGTAAGACTTTCAATCACGATCTTCCTTGTATGATTTTGATTTTGATTTTGATTTTGAAGCCTCAAGGAAAAAGTGAATACTATCGACAACAATGGACACAAAGGCCAAAGCTATAACGTAGTAATATCTTTCCTATGCTATGTAAATGAGAAATAACAGTACGTAAGTCAATTGTAAATCAAAAGTTAGCAACATACAATATACTTGATCTGAAAATCCAACAGTCGATATTCTTCATAGATGTGTCATACACAGAGCACTGGAAGACTAATCATAAGGCTAAACTCACGTGTCAACAGATGCAACGAGGAAAAGGGGGTACAGGAGATCCACTTTCAGCTCCAGCTCTGCAACGAAGTTGAGAAGACCCAACTATAACCAGAACAACATCTGAAAGTTAAAAAATGTGCCCCTACAATATTCTATATCGTCATTAAGTGAACAGACAATTTTGACACGCCAATCCAGCTGCAACATCTCCTGGCGTTTATTTTTTATTGCTTTTAAATACTGTGAACATAGTTACCTTCCTCAGCACAAGTTGTTCACCTCGTAGAAGGCTTTTCCCAGCAACACGCGTGGCCTGCTGTGCAGACAATCCAGGAGGGGCACCGGGTGTGGCCACCGTCCTATAACAAATTCATGCCACATCCACGTTGAAAACCTCAGATTAAAAGATGAAGTGAAGATATTGCGGTAATACATACAGCAGGTAATTGCGGCCAAAATACATACAGAAGCAACACTACGCTTCAAATTGTGTAGTGTTGCTGAAAGGATGGAAAGGAATGTCCAGTGTCCTGTATCACTTAGATTCCTCTTCCCCGTAGAAGCTATTACACTGAAATCTAGAGATATTTTGGCAAGCGTCGTAGAATCTTCAGGTCACTGCAGGTGAGAAACTCACCCTTCCTGAGTGATAGAAACTGGCTGATAGAGCAAAGTTTGTAAGCAAAACTCCACGAACAAGTTACAATCGGCACTATCTTCGATGAAGGCGTACTTAGTTGTCTGGCTCTTGTTTTTCAGAACGGATGCATACTGCTCCAAACCCTATACAGAATGAACTCTTGGTTTTAGGACACACATTCTACAAAAGTTCTAATTTCTGAATTAAAGTGTACAAGATAAGAGATTGTCTAAGCAAAACATTTCCATCAAATAATATCTTCGAAATAAATTTTGACTAATCAAATATGAAGATTGCAAAGCCATCTGAGAGCTTTTTTCTCTACTAGAGTATTAGATGGCATGGAAGAGATATGGTACAACAGCGTTTTAACAAGGCATGAAACAGTTCAACCCTATGAAATCACAATGATAAAACGATAAAACTGCCAAGTTGAAGATCAAGCTCAGTCTTGAACATCTAGCATTTAAATCATAGCAGATGACATCCTTCAATTCTATAAAGCATAAACGATGAGCTATGATAGAGAACAAAACGATCTTAAACGGTAGATATAGTACAACTATTAGACCTCAGAATGTGAGTACACACGTCCCGTGCTCATTATCAAGGGTATGGTGTAACTCACCTTGGCAACCATCCGCAAAAGCTCATCTTGGTGTTCTACTCTTACTTTTGAAACTCCAGCTAGTAGATCGGGGACCACCTCGGCTTGTTCCTGCAAAGTCACGAAAGTTCCGAACAAAAATTTAGGGTGTCAATGGTCGGAATAGAAACAGATACATGTGCATTGTGATACTTTGAAGTAGCAGATAGCGCGGGCTGACGATTTCGTACCTCAGGTGAAGCGTGTTCATAGGCCATTCCTATGTATATAAATGAGAAATTCCTGACTGTTGGATCGGAATTTGGAACCCGATATAGAACTAAAAGCTCTTTCAGAGGTAGTTTTATTGACAGCTGATCCTTTACTCTCTTGTTGATGTGATTCAACATCTCCATCACCTGCAAATGACCAGTAAAAACGAAGAGTGTTGAGATTACCAAATCCAGCTGAATCAGTGCAATTCGCATTCCAAACGAAACCCTTTACGAATAGGAAGCGATAATCGACGACATTACGTTCGCTGCAACAGCTGACCCAGTTTGTGCTGAATTAATATCTTCAAATTCCAGATTATGAACACAGCGTGTTGAGACGCCATTTAACAATTTGCGGTGTGAAGCCAATGCGATTCATGAGATGAACAGAACTTCATGATGTCCCTCCTTTGAAAATTAATGTGATCTTGTACATCAAGATAAAAATTAAGAGGAGTCCATTCAAAAGCAGAACTGAAATAAGCAGCTACATCTGATTACGCCCATGATCCTTATTATCTTTTGGCCGCTTGAACATAATGCAGAGGATATTGGCAACAAACCCAACTGTCTTCAGCGGCATGTTCACATGAGATCATCGTAGTGAGCAAGTCTCCAACAATTCTATCAGATTACAAAATTCTAGGGGAAGCGAATCGTATGCGGAATTTCCGACCTTCAATTTCGTTGGCTGATGTGGAGAAGCCATTCGACTGATAGCCATGGGTAGAAGCTTGGACAAGACTTTCTCCAGCTGCGCATCTTCGGTGAGCGCCAGTCTCGTAAGCAAACGATCCAACGATGCCACTTCCTCGGGCCCAGTTTCCTTCCCCATCTCTCCTCTCTTCTCTTTAACTCTCCTCTCCTCGCTATCAATTGCCAACTTCTAAGCTCGCACAAATCGCTCACATATCAACCGCAAAGCTGTGAGTTCCCAAGATCAAGTTTCTTCTTCCCCGGCCTTCTGGTTTCAGCGCAAACGCAGAGCTCGGAGATCTTTGCAAATCGATATTTTCGGGACCCGGTTACGAGCAATCGTGGAATTACGCATCGGCTGATCGGGTCCACCAGCCTGGTGATTCGCGAAAATTTTCACTTTCAAATTTCACATATTCATTTGGGCCGCATGAGATTCGTCCATTGTTCGATTGGTAAGCCCGGGCGGACAGGCAGGCGCTCGCACGGCAGGCGAGGCTAGGTCGGAAGGCACGAAGGAAGCTTGCAAGCAAAGTTGGCTTCTTTCACAAGTGGCAGTCGACAAATCTCGTCTCGTCTACGTATCTTCTAAGTTTTCTTGAATCACGTGTGGCTCATTCGGATGTGCCTTTATATACACTACCCTTAATGACATTCTCATTTTTAGCTATTGCGGATGATATTTTATGGTTTATCTTGTTTGGAAGTTGATATGGAACTGGATGGATTTTAAATATTATTATTTTCTTTTTTATATTAAATCTGAACGATTGGTCAAACTAGATTTTATTAAAGAAAAAGCTCTCAGGGCGCTTTTGCATAGATATCTCACATGAATACTTCTACACTATCTATTACATTAGGGCTATGGTATATCTTGGTTCATCAAGACCATGGCAATTGTGGAAACATGTTTGTTAAGTATGATGACCGAGTTTCGTAGACGAGGACTATTCATGTTAACGGAAGTGCAGCCAATGGAATGGTAGTATATTATATGTAAAAATATAATATACTACCATTTCTTGTTTTCTCTAAATTTCAAATTATAAGTAGCTATGGATATTTCTTTGAAATTTTTTTTGAAAGAACACGGATAAACATATGATAAATATTATAGAACAGTACTTTTATAAGCAATTTAGGTTAATCATTTCCATTTATTTAAAGACAATAATATTAGGTTTAGTCCATATATAATCATCAGATTGTATGCAATTCATTGAGATACTTTGATAATTGTATACTATTTCTTCTAGATAATTCAGAAGTGTTAATTTCAGTATCACACAATATGCGCTATAACACAAATGGTGACTATTTCATCTTTGTGAGACTTAATAGGGTCGTCCTATCACTTTGCTGCACTACTTGGTGCCCACAAATAAACCCCAACAAAAAATTTGTCGGTTCTTTTTCTCGCACCTTTCTTACTCCTCTTTCGTTTTGGTTTTAAAAGAGGAAAGGAAAGCATGAAGTGAAAATAAGTAGAGAGAAGAACCATCAGAAATGGATACAAGGTAGAGGCAAGCAAACCAGGCACAATATCTTAAGCACAAGAAAGAGGATCCTACATGGATGTTCTCTACTTTCTGCTCCTGATATGTCTACTGAATTTGTCAATTTGTAGCGATTCAAATGTTACTTGAAATATTATACGTTATAATTTCCACGAAACCTAGTTAGATTACTTGTATAGGTTATTTTCAGGTTGCCTCCATTGATTTGTTTCTTCACACACTATCCGGGAAAAGTGGGGTTTTCGTACTTCTATTTTGATCCTTTCCAAGTTGTCTTTCAAGTTCCAGTTCTCCTTAGTAAAAACGGCATAGATCCTACAAAGTGGAATCTACGGCCAATACTGGTATATATTTCATGGTTATAGTTTTGTTGGAAAGATGTCGAGGTGTTACTGAAAACTGAATTTCCTTATTTTGAACCTGGAGAATTCATCGACATCACTCCTCATTATCTAGGACGCTTACACACAATACTATTTCTCGTTGAACTTGATACTTGCTGCGTATATTTATAGTTTGTATATCAATACACACTATTTGTTTAATTTATGTTCAATTTTGATGGGTCTTCCCATCCTTTTTCAATATTTTATCTTCTACTTACCTTCTAGTTGTTTGGAGCTTACTACTCGAGGAAGTAAGAATTGATTACGTTTTAACTTACACAAAGCATGGAAATAGATCTCCCTTCATTCCTGGTGATCCCTTGAATTCTTCATAATGTGTAGTTTAAAATTTTCAAACCCCAAATTATTTCTATGCTCGCCTCTCGTTAATGAACAAAACAGATAATTTGAAGTGGCACACAATCTCATAATTGTAACCTATGAAGATCATGCCTTATGCAGCTTCCTCGTCATAACTTCTACAACAAAGGAAAAAAAATATATATATATATATATATATTTTTCCTTCAGTACCCATACATGCAAATATGTTGGACTTCATAGTGTACATGCACTATGAATAAATACAGGTTAAGATAGGTAGGTAGGTAGGATTGAGACAATATAGCTTTGTTATGTATTTGCAACTGGCTATGTGTAAAAGCAAATCATAAGGGTTGATGATTTGTTTCTTTCACATATATCTAGACCTATTCAAATTCCATGAAGTTAGAAATAACATTATAAAATAATAAAATAATAGATAATAATAGATAAAATAATGTTTATGGTTCAATTCTTCAACTGCATTGTCAAGGTAAATAAGAGGTACAACTTTTGAAATATAAATATTTAAGGTAAGGATTATGCTACCATTGGACGACCTAAATTGTATCCTCAATGTTTTATTTTACGACCATTTCTTGGTATATAAAACATTGATATAATTTTTTATAAAAAGTTTATGATAGCCTTTGAAATGATTTGGTTAATAAAATTATTTTTTTAAATATTGACAGCCGTTATCATTGTGGGCTTTCGAACCATTAGAACCACAACGCTTATTTGGAACGATATTAACTGATTGCAAGGTTTTCAATTGCATTTATCAAGATACTTGAGAAGATCATTCACAAGATTTGGCATATTAAAGTCGAGACAATTTCACGACTTTGATACTGTATTGCCATCAAAACATTCTGGGAGAATCAATCAAGTGGACAATCTGGGATCCAATCGATTTGACGATTGAAATGATTATACTTTAAGAACATTTGCAAACTTCTTTGGCACATCTCTCTGAAGGCACACAAGGTAAACATAACGAGATTGACTTAACGGTTTAGGGTGGACAATATATTTATCTGGAAATGACAACACCACGCCCATAGATTGAGAAAAGTTGAAATGTAGGGTACTAACAACTAGTGAAGAATACAAAGTGATAATAAATTTAAATTGAGAAATACGGAAAGTGAATAGAGAATTTTTATTTAATTTCATTCATTCTTTCTTTGGTTTCAAATTCAAACTGATGAAATTGTGTAAAATAATATACATTAATTTGTTATTTGTAACTTCAAATAATTTGCCTCAAATATATACAATTTGTGACTAGATACAATTTGTTAATGTATATACAATTCACAATTAGAATTGACAATTTTTGGATTTAATGTATTAGGATGAATTACATCAGTACTTAGATGTACCAAGTTTTTCAAATATATGTTGTGTACATTATTGTATGTACTTTATATTTACTACTCTAATAATAATCAACTAAGTTTATATGAAATAATATAACATGATATACAAATATCAATGAATTGTTTTCACATTCAATATTCATGTTTTTTATACAATCTTAAATCTGAATTGTTTAAGATTTTCTTGTGCATCTATTAATTATGATACTTTATAAATTTTTCATTGAAGCAACACTAAAATTTTGTTAAGGGGATGAAAATTATTATTCATCTTGATTAAAAATCATCTCATAATTTTGATAGAATTTCATGATTCTTATGAATTTTTATTTGACCTTAATTTTGATTTTTTTAGCAATATTTTGCATGATTATTTTTTATTTTATTTTTTGCGTATTATTTATTTAAAATTAATAATAATAATAATAAATTTATTTGAATTTATAATAGATATAATATGTATTCAATTTCTGTGATTAGATCATTCATTTATCATTGTATCTACTCAAGTGTTGTGAGAATAATAGAATTTATTCTATGAATTTTCTTTGATAATTTTTTCAATAACAAATATAACTGAAGATAAAGATACTCAGCAAGAAAGATAAAAAACAACACATCCACATCATAAGCAGAAAGAGATTACACGATGCAGAACAAAACACATAAACAACTAAAGAGAAACATGGTTCATCTCAGTAAGACTTTGTCTGTAGAAACACAAGAATCTAAACTAAAAATCCTCAAGTGTGTAAGTTTGTGTCACTATATAATTACGATCAAATCTCTCTATAATAAAGAAATAAGTAAAATAACTAAATTTGACTATATTAGCTAAAGTTAATTAGTAACAAAGTTAATTCTTAAATATACAATTTGAATCATAATAGTTAAAAATCATACATGAATCTCTGTTTTATATTTTCAAGTATGTAAAAGATATTCAGATTATTTTTCATCTTTCTCAGTTTTCTATAAATTTTATAAGATAATTATTATATCTACTTCAAACTTATTCTTATAACTTGTTTCAATTTTTTTGATTACAATACTTCACTATATATTTTGTATCATTGATTTATTAAAGATACGTTTGCAATGTAAAAATACAAATCATATATTTAGATAATTTTGATCATCTCAATATTAATCTATCATTATATTAAAATTATTATTTTTAATTATTATTTGCTGCCTGATAAAATTTTTAATATGGCATATATTTTTCAGATTCGTTGATATAAATTATCAATGGTTATGACTATAAACAGTATAAACTATTATAAATGTTAATAATTTTTTGAATAATTTATAGGTTATGTAATTTTTTAACCATAAATTTCATAATGAATTTTTTTTACCATAGATATATCTAATCCTTATTATGGCATTATTTCAAACTGAATTTTTATTAAGGATATATGTTTAAAAATTTGATCAAAACCTACTAATACAGTTTAAATCACAAAATTTATTCTGGTGGTTTGAAATTCAGTTCTAGGATTGGTTTTTTACCTAATTGTATAAACATGCATGTAACATTTATAAATTACATGTTAGATGTAATTTACATCTTCAAACGTAATGTTTTATTGTACTTACAGATAATTTGAGGTTTCAAATAATTTTTAAAAAAATTTTATGTTAAAAATTAGTGTATCATGGAACAGATGAGAGTTTGACATAGAAAGCTAACTTCTTCTATAAGGTCTAGAATTTTTTAATATATCTCATAAGACTTAATATTAGAAGACTTACAGAGATGTTAAAATTTTGTACATTAATATTTATTTTTCCATTAGCAATCTTAAAATTCGAAAAAATTCATACCGTTTGGAAACTTTGATGATTTCATAACTCATCACTTTTACATCGAGTAATATGAAGTAGATTCTATAAATATGATATTTTTTATAGTCATATGAACATTACTTTGAAATTC